TCAGTAAGAGATATATAGACATGCAAGTAGGCTTAGTGCTTCCAAATAGAACTGAAAGACAAATCTATTCTCTTATTCATAGCTACTATCAAAGATAAGAAACTGAAGAATAGAAATACACTGAAAGAGCAAATCAATCAGTAATCACAGATCAAAAATAGCAAAGGTAAAAGCAAAGTAAAACAAAAGCTCTGCTAACTTAGAAAGGCAATACAAGACAGAAAGCAGCAATTGCATTGTACAGAGGGGAAAGAAAGATTAATGGAGAACATAAAACCCAGAAGCAAACTCAGTAATGATGACAAAAGAGTGAAAGTGAAAAGTAGTTATAGAAAAGTGTAAGACAAAAGGGCCTACTGCTCTAGCAGAAACTAAAATGTGCATGGACTGAACATATTTTCTCTTATTTCCAAAATCCAAAACTATAGCTTCCTTAGACACCAACTCAAATGGAAATTACACCTTTCATACTACTCAATGGATAATACATCCTAGAAAGTTAAAGAAATTTGTGTAGAAATTTGCATAAGAATTGAAATAGGACGTACATCAGAAACTCCTCACCCTACCAAGTGCTGTGCCTTGGAAGTGCAAACATTTCCATTTGCTTCCTGCCCAAGAGCTGCCAATCCTGTGCTCCAGCTGCTGAAGCCTCAGCAGACTGTAATGCTGTGCCTTTCTACTGCAGAATCTTTCAGCTGTGTTCATAAACTTCAAGGAAATTATGATTTGAACCTTTGGTTTTCTGGTCTACTTTGAAGATGGGAGAGGGAGAATGAATTTCTACAAAAACTTGTAATTTTTGAAGTAATAGTCTGGTTTAATTAGCAAAGAGTTAACTAACAATGTATTCCTCCTCCTGTGTAGCTAGCCAGAGATCAGTCAATGGGAAAAGCACTATTTTGAAGGGTAGGCAACTGACTCAACATTATAACAGAGGACATTCACACTTTAATGATTTCACTGCCATAATTGCTCTCTGTAGCCCATTACCCCCCAAAAAATTAAACACTATAAAACTTTTTCTTGCTCTTAATAGGGACTGTCTAACAAAACAATTGCCCTTGTATTAAAACTGATGCATTAAAACTTCTGTTCTTAGTGACAGATGTGAACTCTGCAACATCCTGATATTGCCATCCATGATCATTTTCTTTTTTCACTGTGTCTAACAGCATAAGGCCAGCATGTATGGGAAATGAAAAATCACAGGCTCCTGAATATATAAGTTAATGTACAACCTCTCAAACTTCCAGAGGAAACAAGATCACCCCAGTAAAACAGTTTGAGCATACAATTATAATGGAACTGCTTGTTTCATTGGTGGTAAATATCTCCAAGTCCTCTTTTGCATTCAGCTTAAACAAATTGTTCTGCCAACATGCCTAGAAAGAAATGTATCTGTGTGTCTGAAGGCATCTTTTACAGATACCGTCTCCAAGACAAGCAATGCTAAATAAGGATGCTTGCAAATCACATGCTGACAGTTTTTATTACAAAACTTGATAAAGCATTTAGTGATATCCAGTAGCATAAGAGATAAATTTCAAACAACAGCAGGCCTCTTTTACAGAGTATTCAGATGAACAAATTGTTTGTATTACTAGACAGACATCACACACTTCTGTAAAGAGAGGATATAAAACAAGAATAGATTACAAAAAGAACTGTGACTTTCCAAGGATGACATTAGTGAAGAGCAGCAGTACAAATCAGCAATATTCAAAGAGAGATGTGAGCTCAAATGAGATTGAACACCATCCTTATCAACACTATCAAGTCACTTGCCCATGGATCTCTGTATCTTGGATACTTTACCCAAACTTCCACCACTTTTTCCAGAGCATTGTGCTTCAACACTGCCACCTCTTCACTGGTGACCCCTCAGCTCTACCCTGAGTTCTTAGGAAATGGGGATTTGTCCACATCTGCCCAAACATGAGTAAGAAGCAGCAGAGAGCAGAGAATTGCTCACTTCCATTTCCCAACAGCACACACACATCTGACCCCAACAACCCTCAGTACTTCCCGAGCCTGTTGCTAACAGGTCACATTCCTGGAAGGGACAAGTTGGTTGGTTTTTATTTAAGATACAGTTTAAAGCACACACAAAGAAATAAATACATATTCTTGCTGGTTTTAAAAGTAACTTACACCCTCACTGAAAGAAAATCACAAAAATGAAATAGTCTTCATGGCTGTAAGTTGTGTGCACCCAGTTTTTCTGCACATGAATGTTTGAGGCTACAAACAACCACTATAAATTGTACCCATCCCTAGGCAGCCATTCCAAAGGGCATGTCTGAAGAATAATCTCTAGGAAGGAATAAGCAGGCAGTCACTTATGCACCTTTAAGGCATGTTTTGAGATAAAAGGTGTGTTAGCTTATGTTGAAGCACACACTGTCTTGTTGGCTCTAGAACTGTCATGTCCTAGCAAAGTGTTAGGCAATCTCTGTTAGATGAGAAAATGCCTTTGGAGCATCTACTGGAAAAGCCTTTGATTCATTTCCCAATGAATCAAAAATACAAACCACAACAGCATATTTATTTTATGATTTGGGAAGAGACAAGGGAATTAATAGCTCACTCCCAGCCCCTTCCATGCAAAAATAAGAGTTTGTTCTAATAATAAGTCCCTTTTCATGCTGGGTTCTTGTCTGATCTAAGATGATATTAATTGAATCTCTTCAGCCAACACTTGCTCTACAGCAGTTTCCTACCATTTCAGCAAAGCAGGGATTGAGTGATGCCTGTGAAGGGAGTGCACAGCCTGGGGGAAGGAGAACGATGGGCAGAGATGCACATATTGCTCATTTCAAGTCCTGTGCTTATATATTTTTTAAAATTAGAAAAGACACTTCTACAGAAAATATACCACTGGGAATACTGAAAGGAGGTTTAAATCATTATGGAGTACACAAAAGGGAAAGACTTCTGTGAGGCAAGGGCTGACAAACTAATAAGAAAACTCAGCTACAACACCAGAGGCTCTTGTTCTCTCTTTTGGGACAGGAAGAGAAATAGATCTGCATCAGCAAGGGGCAGATTTAAAAAATACTCCTTGGGAAAGTCTGACTTAACACACTTTGCTTTATATAGAAGCTGGCTGAGAGTGTGCTCACAATTCCTCAATGTGACCCAGCTTACACACAGAATTTGCTGTGCCAAGCAGCAAGGTTTCTTGCAATCATGATGAACATTATTTCATATGCATGTCACATGAAAACCATCACTGCTGGGTTATGCAAAACTCTTGTTAGTGACAAGAAAAAAATGAACATAAACCCATAAACCCAATGAAAAAAATAGAATTCCTTCCATGGCAGAGTCATTAGAATAAGTATTCCAAACCCTGAATACTTACTGCAGGCAATTGTTACTACTTCAACAAAAAGAAGAAAGAAACATCTGATAAAAATTTATCCAGTCCTGGAACAGTTAAGCTGCTTCCCAAGGAAATTCTATATTATACAACAGCCTGCAGAAGATTATGACATTTTCAAATACATCCATTAGCCTACCCTAATTAAATGTGTAGTTTTGTTAATTTTAATGGCTTCTGTTATTTCACTACTTGTATACACAAATATACACCTCAATTGCATATTCTATGGCAGCCAAGGGCTTTGGATTTATTAAATTCAATGCTAACACAGGCTTTGCTGAATATTGTACCAAAGTCTTGGCTATCTATTAAAATTATATCCACCCATTCTCAGCACGAAAATGCCTGATATTGCTGGTGGTAACAAGCAGTTAATGCCAATTCAGCATAAAGCATATCAAATCTCAGGCTCTCATGTGAAGGGCTGGACTCATCTTTCTGTTCTGCCACTGAAACCAGCAGCATAAAACAGATGGTTTGTTCATTCCCTGAGACAGCACTGCTAAATGGTTTTGGCCAAAAGAAAAGAATCAAAGAGAAAAAGTGCAGAGATTTTAATAGATTAAAAGTTCCATGTAATTCCAAGAGCTGCTGATAAAAATTTCCTTTCTAATTTTTCACCTTTAGAGGGAAAGATGCACATTTCTTTTCCCCTGAGAACAATCACAAACATCAGCAAGCAACCCCCTTAGGCCCTAAGCCTCTCCTTCTCAGCAAGGACTGAAATAATCAGGAACTAATTTCATCCATCTTTCCCACACAGGCTACAGTAATTCTATTTGTGCCAGCCCTCCCCAGCATCATTTCTTTCCAAAACAACAGCATACAGTGGTTTCACAGCTTTAGGCTGCAATTGCCCACATTTCCTAAAATTTATAAATGTGGAAATAGCATTTCCCCCTCTCCTTTTTAACCTGTCACTAACAGGTTCTTACTCAGCAAAATATTTCCAGCCTCTGCTGCATAAATTGTGTTTTTTTGATTGAGCAGGTACTTAAGTGTTGAATGGCAACTCCATCAGCTGCTGCCCTGGCTAACTGAGCACTGTGCAGGGCTTCTGCTCTGCTGCTGCAGCTCAGGGAGCTCCACAACACCCTGATCACACTCCACAATTGTACCAAATTTAAAATAGAACCACACAGATGCATCAAGATCTGTCAGTCATTCCCTTAACAACTCTACCGTGCCATTAAAACCTAAAGAATCAAATGTGAATTAACTTATTTTAGGAATTCTCCATTAACATAACAAAAATGATGGTCCTACTGATATCAACCTCCTCTCACCTGAGAACTTTGATACTACAACTCTCTTTTGCATAATGCATTATTAAACCTCTTCATCCTCTGTGGAAAAACCTCCACAACTCATTTTAAACCATGTTACCTTACAGTTTATGAAAGATTTCTGCAACATAACTCACCTGAGATTGCTGGTATTGAATAACCTTTGTAAAAAACAATGTTTACCTAAAGTAATTATTTTTAGCATCATAGCCTTACATTCAACTATAGAAACATAAGTTTATGATTTTTCTACTTAATATCTGCATACTTTATTTTCACATCAATCTTTAGCATGTGACACAGTAAGTTGAGTACAATAATCTCACCTGCCACCTCTCTGAAGTGCAAATATGATGCCCTTTTCCTGAAAAGGAAGCAGCTTCTTTCTCAGCCTTTCAGGTAGGAAGGAGAGCTTTGCATCAACATCCTCCAACTGAGAGGCCTTGAGTGAAGGGGTTTCCTGGAGAGCACTGGCCATGCTGAACCAGAGGGAAACAAAAGAGAAAGATGATATCTGACCTGCATGGCAGAATAGAGAATAAAGCTTGATGGAACAACACTCATCACTTCATCCTGAAATAATCAATATCTACACAGCTTTCCTTGAGGTTTGAGAATTCTTTCTAGAAAGCATAAAGTTGTGCAGATGCTGAAGGAGAAGTCCCTCACCACAGTATCCATAAAACATTCTAACTAATTTAGAATATTTTACTGTGTCTAACAGCATTAGGTCAGTTATATTCCAGGATGAAGACAGCAGCATGTGTCTCTCCCTTTACACTATGAAATAATTATTTTAGCAAACACCCTATTCATGGAAGGAAGTTATTTGCCATTCAAATCAAGCTTACTCATGGACACTGAAATATAACTCTTTTAGTAACATTTTTCAGAAGATTTCCAGGGAAAAAAATTGGTTATTTAACTTCTGATGATGGAACTAACAGTTCTTTAAATTTTTAGTCCTAAAAATTAAATGAGAAAAAAAGGGGGAAATATGCCCACTTTGAGGGAAGTGGAAAAAAAAAAAAAGAAGAAAAAAGAAAAGAAAAACCAGTCCCCCATTTTCCTAAGTGGAATCTTTGGTATAGCTTTACAGGAACAATATTCCTTTACCTTGTGCCTCTGGAACACTCAGCAGCAGATACAAGAACTTGATGAGTACCAGGCTCTTTCATGCATGTCCACCACAGAGCTTTGCTTAACACAAGATGGAAAGCCCCTGTGTGCCCAAGACAAGCATTTCCCAGAAAAAACCCATAAAGCTGCAGTAAATAAATCCCTGCTTCTGCTCTCAAATGAGCAAACATGAATGCTTCAATTCTAACTATTGGGAAAATCACCATAATCACTTCAGTTCTATCACAATATTTTCCATTGCACCTTTTTTCCTTTACAAGTTGATTAAGGTGTGGTACTTAAGACTGCTGGCAAACAAACAAAAACTAAAGACAAAAACTAAAACATTTCTGTAGAGTCACACAAGTCAACAATGCTGCAGGATTGGTGGGCCCAAAGCTGTTGAACACTCAGTTCTGAGATTCACCTCTAAAGAAAGTTTGTGACTCATTTTCTTTGATAATTTTCCATTCTATAAATGCAGAGATAATGATGTACTTGTGATCAGCTCCCTACACAGCTTGTTGTGAGTGACAATATGAGAATGAAATGTTAACATAATTAACTTTCTGTTGAACAAGATCATGACAGGATCCTTTCACTGAAACACTGAATAGGAACCATGCAGATTCAGAAGCACAGATCTGAATTAGAGCAGGCACATGAGTCATCAGCACACAGCAATACTACAATGAAAAATGTTTCTGCATCAGTCATTAACACAATTAAAACTGACTTTGCAATCTTGGAAAGCAGCAAAACAGAAAGCACTAACTCCCAGATATGTACAAGTTTTTGTTTAGTTTTTTTCTCTAGGTGAATGATTGAATAAATGAATGGTGAATAATTACAGACTAGGTGAATAATTAAAGAATTCCAATGTGGTGAACAATAGATATTAACACAACATATACAATGATTGTGGCAGTGGTGGCCATGTATGTTATGTACACATTGTAGTAATGTCAAGAAATAAAAATAATCTGTTTTAAAAAAGGATTTAGTCAGTGTAGCAGAAGATCAGTTTGTATCTGTTATTCTAGTCATTGCAGATTTAGAAGATGTAAGGAAGAAAGACCAGTGCATGTATTCCCATTTACAACTTTTCATGGCTTTTTCTGTGTCCTTAATGTGCTGTAATACAGATCACACTGACCTTCTCACATCTCCAGATCACCAGTTCTACAGCTGCATTTTTTTCAGACAAAATAAACCCAAAAGGTTTTGTGTGGAGACCTAGCTTTTCATTCAGAGACTTCATTCAGCTGTACAAGTTAAAAAACTCAAACTTTGAAGTATTTACCCAAGTGTTTTAAATGAAATCAGGGATGAAATAGTTAAACTACTAAATTCAGTAACTATTAATCTAAAGTTGCTTAAGCATCTCAGCACTAGATAGTGGTAAATGATCCACTGTCATTTAATAAATGTAAGGTATTTATAATATAAGGTAAATAAAAGGTTTAAAAGCAGGGATGAGGAAGACTCATGGACCTACACCATGATTCATTCATAGGGCATTAAAAACCAGTAAAAAATTATGAAGAACCCATGCACACCAGGATAAATGCTTTTATTTGGTGGGAGTCACCATGTGTTTTGTAAAAGTGATTGCCATTTTTCCACTCTGATGAAGTTTTTTTGAAAGGGCTCTACAACAATGTACTTATAACTATTTGATGCAATTCCCACTACTTTGCAAAACTGAATTAAAACAGAATACATTTTATAAATATATTTGTAAAGTAACTATAATTTCCAGGAAAACTTTTAAAAAGTCCCTCAAACTTCCAAGAAAACTGAGCTACCATATAAAAAAATTGCACTGAAACTTTTTTTACATTCAAGCAAGTAGACAGCTCCTACATGAGAGAAACAACATCAGCAGCATTTTCAAGTAATCTGCTCCAACTTCTCTCATGTTCAATCAATCATAAATGATCTGGAAAAGTAACTAGCTACTGAGGGATATGGGCAATGCAAACAATAAAATAAAATTTTAAAAAACCCAATGTTGAATTTCTTTCTAATCACTGCTGTACTGCATCTCACTATAGGCCCTGATCCTTCCAGAGGCAGCAAGTGAGCCCCAGCTTGTTGAGGATAGAGGATGTTACCCCTGGGGCTGTTTCTCTATTGGAAACTTGGGTGCAAGACTGATGACAGGTTCAAGGATTACTTTAAGTTTTCCAATAGCTGTTTGTCAACACAAGCTGATTACATAATATAAACCCACTGCTTATTTTTACAGGCCACTAAGTATAGCCCCTTAATGCAGCTCAGCAGCACATGCCTAAGACAAATGAGTCTTTCCACTAAGGGTTTTCCTTCATAAATTTCCTCTAGATGGACTTAACTGCTCCATGACTGCATGTTCAATAAAACTTAATAGGGAATTCAAAGCTCTAAGAACATCCTGGCTGACTGATTAATCAACTGTTTCACAGAATCACAGAATTGTTTGTGTTGCAAGGGACCTCTGGAGATCATCCCATCCAACTCCCCTGCCAAGGCAGGGTCACCTGGAGCAGGTAACACAGGAACACATCCAGGTGGCTTTGGAATGTCTCCAGAGAAGGAAAATCCACGAGTTCCTGGGCAGCTGTCCCAGTGCTCTGCCATCTTTGTAAAGAAGTCCTCCCTCATGCTGAGGTGGAACTTCTGTTTCATTTCATGGCCGTTGCTCCTCATTCTGCTGCTGGGCACCGCTGGAAAGAGTCTGGCACCCTCCTGTTGGCACCTACCTTTGAGATATTAACGTGCATTAATGAGATCCTCTCTGTCTTCTCCAGACAGAACAGACCCAGCTCTCGGAGTCTCTCCTCATAAGAGATGCTCCAGACTCCCCATCACCTTGTGGCCTCTCCTGGGCCTTCTCCAGCAGCTCCTTGTCTTTCTTGTTCTGTGAAGTCACCAGTGGGATAACAAGGAATTGAAAATCTACCCATCAGAACACAGCACTTTAAAGAACACTACAAGAGCAAGCAATCAGATGGAGCAAAGGACACCACACAGTTCTTCAGCATAGAACATTTTTCCACAGGCCGCTGTACCGTGCTGGAGGGAAGCGCACACCTCAACCCCTTGCCTGGGGGCAAGTATTTTATTTTACTTACGCAAGCCCCTGCAGCTGCAATCGCAGATTTACCTGAGCGCACCACGCGACGACCCAGCAGCAGCAACGACAAGAAGTGAAACCTGTCACAAACCGGGGCTGGTGACAAACAGCAGTCACCTGGCAGCTGGTCCCCGCCTGGCGAGCGGCGCCGGGCGCCTCCCTGCCCGGGCACCCCCTCACGGCCGCGGGCTCCGCGCTCGAACGAGCGCCGGGAAGTGACGCATGACCAGAGGTCACGGACGGGAAGCGCTTTTGGGCCCGGGCACCGCTTTTTCCTTATTTTTTGTCTTCCCCGTCCTTCTCGCCCCTTGCCCCGTTTCTTCAGTAGCGAGTTAAAAATCATCTTCCCCCCTGGCCGTGCGTTGTGCCGGTCCCTGATCCACTAGAGCGGGCGGGCTGAGGGAGCCGGAGGGGCGGGAAGGGGGAAGCGGGGCTGGGGACGCAGGGAGGCGAGGATGGCGCTGTAAGGGCCGGGCTGGACGGGGCAGTGCCGCCAGCTCTCGGGGTTGGGGAGACCGGTGAAGGCCGGGGTGAGGAGCCGGGAGAACGAGAGGTTGCGCGGACAAGCCGCGACTACAGATCCCAGCCTGCCCCACCAGGGTGCGGGGGCCGTGCGGCTGCGGGAGGGCTGGCACGGGGACCAGCGGAACCGTGGGCTGCTGCTCGGGGTACACCACACGCCCGGGACCCGGGGAGCAGCTCAGGCGCGGGTGAAGGAAAAGCGGCCGGGGCACGGAGCGGAGACCGCTAAGATCCCGCACGGCCACAGCCGCGGGATCGCTCCATCTGCCCGCGGCCATGGGCTGCACGCAGAAGGCGGGCCTTGCGGTGCCGGTGCGCCGCTCTTACTGGTGCTCATGGTTGTCTGTCAAGGCGGCCGTGCCCTCCGATTGGCCGCCGCCTTCCGGGCGGGCTCCGTTTCGCGTAAGCGCCGAGCGGCACCACTCCGCAGCAGCGCCGGGGGGAGGGCGCCGCGACGTTTATTGGTCCGCGGGGCTGTCAATCAGTGGCGCCCCGCGCAGCCATTGGTGGGGCAGTCCGGGGGCGGGGCCTCTCTCCCCGCCGCGGCAGCAGCAGGAGGAACCCGAGCGGCGCTCGGCGCTGGGTTCGGCGCCCCTCGTGTGTGAGGAGCCGCCACCCGCCGGGCGCGGCGTCCCGGGAACGAGCCCGGGAACGAGCCCGGGAAGGAGCGCTCCGCCCCGGTGAGGAGCCCGGGATGCCGCCGGGGAAGGCGCTCCGGCGGGCGGGGGTCGCAGTGCGCTGAGGGAGGAGGGGGGGCCGCGCCCGCAGTGCGCAGAGCGGGGGCAGCGCTGAGGGAGGGGGGGCGCGGCCGCGGGGCCGGGGGGTGCAGCCCGGCCGGGGGTCACGGTCCGGCGGGGCCAGCCCGGCCCTTCCCCTTCCCTAATATAGCCCGGGCTGGCCAGAGTGGGACGCAGGGCTCTTCGTCTATTATGTTTCCATTTTCTTCAAATTTCTGCCGCATGTTGGATAATTTTGTATGTGGGTATATCTACCATGTTGTAGTGTAAAGTGTAAGTAGACTTGAGAGCCAACTACGTCACGGCCTGGTTTTTACCATGTCTTTTAAAAACGTTTTAAAATGAGTTTTCAGCACCGAAGAAGGGTTTCACTTTATGGGGAAGATGGAACGAGGTAGAAAAAGTGAGGAATAGCTGTTTCTTACATGGGGTCTAAGAATTATTCAGGTTATTCACGTGAAGAGATTTGCACACATCCTACATGTTGATGGATTTGTGTGATGCCCATAGAAAGCTGGATTAGGAGGTGATGGAAAAAAAAGCAAAAAGAGTGGCGCACGCTTTGCTTAGGGTGCATTGCCACATAGTACAGCCTGCCTTAGTGTTTGTTATCTTGGAGTGGATTTGCTAATAGTCTTTAATTTTAAATTTTGATGCCCCCTTCTCATTGATCTGAAACCGAAGAGATCTTGTGTGCCCAGAGCAGAATAGGGAATGTGTTGGGTTTTTTCTCTTGCAGTGTCTGACACTCGCCTTTTTCCACTGAGGGATTAACCTGCAATTTTTAATGGGGTTGCCTTCTCATGTCTTGTCTTCCACAAGGAGTAATGTATTTGAGACATGCTCTTTGGCTGAATATCAAACAGCAATTTTACAGGGCAGTATGTCTTGCGAATGTTAAATTAGGAATATTTATTTACTGTTGAAGTGAAAGGTAAAATAAAGTTCTGATTATTTTTCAAATTTTTTTTTTCAAATAAATCGCTATTCAGGAGAAAGAAATAGCAATGGAAACACATTTTTCTTGTCAGTCTTCCATTGGCTTGGCATGTGCCTGATATTAAGCCTTTGTTTTGCAGTAAGTACTGTGATGTCAAGGGTTTCAGTATTTTGTAGAAATTAAGTGACTTATTGCTTCTCAATTTACTGAAGTCCCAATGGGAAAAATAATGTTAAGACTTGTGTCCATTTAAATCTTGGAGATCAAAAATGTAGTACTTGTAACTGCACTTCTTGACCACTCTTTATTTTAGAAAACTGTCAAGATCAACTAGTACTTTTCTAGTGAGTAAAACCAGATTTGACCAAATATCAATAATTTTGAGGAGTGTGCAATGTACTGGGTTGGGTTTTTCAGCAGTGCTCCAGGAATTATTTATTAAAGATTTGGGGAGGGTCAGCCACTACATCTGCTGCAGTGGTTGTCTGTTTGTATTTTAATTTTGTGTGTCTGTTAAGAGGAATAAAGGAAGAGTGGAGGGGACAGAGCAGAGTAGTAGAACCATTCTCATCTTAAACACAATTCTGCCTCTGCATTTTTTCTTCTTTTAACTTAAGTTTTTGGCTTTCATTTCTACTCCTATTTCAGTATATTTGCCTTACACCACAGTCTGTATTCTGTATTGCTTGGTGAAGGTCTGTCCGTGAACAGCTCCAAACCAGCCGAATGCTTTGGGTCGAGTGCTCCAGGCTCAGCTCTGGTAAACGCAAATCCCTGGCTTTGGGGTTGATCCATTGAAAGTCAGTTTGCTACAGTGGCCTCTGCTAATTCACCTTTCATGTCTTTGTATCACCACTTTCACAAACCTACTTCTCCCCAGAGTTAATTTGACTGAGAGATGTAGCAACCACATCTTTTTAAATATGTGTTTAAAGTTTCAAGGTGCTCAGCTCCAGACCTTTAAAAGTAACTGCTACAGTTGCATTTTTTGGACACTTTAGGAAAAATCGGCCTTTTGACACCATGTTCTGTGAGTGAGTTGTCAGGTAATGGAGCAACATAAACTCTGAATGGGCTAAAATGGGGCAAAATAAAAATCTTTTAAATATATTGACACCACGGTTCAGATTCAGTGAGCTAGACGCCTATGCTCCAACTTTTACTACCTGGATAAAAATATGAACCACCTTGGATGTCCTGGTTAGCTGAAGTGATTGGCATCTGAAATTTTTCAGCGTGCTCGAATTCTCATTTCAGAGATACGAGGAGAGTTAAGCAGCAGCCGGTAAATACGAGGTGCTGTGATTCATGGGTGTGACAGCTAAGGAGCTTTCCACAGGAGTGGGAGAATATCTGTAATCCTGCCCTCCCTGGGCTGCAGAGGTGTTGAGCCACTCAGGCTTTTAGTGGCAGTGTCCCCGTGTCCATCCCGCCTGGGAAAGGCCATAGGAATGCCCCGGGGGGGTTGTTAAACGCTGCATTCCACGTGGAGCCTTTCAGTGATGGGAAGAGGAGTCGTTGGCAGTGCAAGAGCTGAATAGTGAGGGCATTCACACCGGATTCTTTAGGCAAGGAGAGTCAATGTGAGTGCCCCAATGTGGGGATAGGCAGCGTCTGTGGGAGCCCATTAAAGCCGGGGTGCTCTTGGTGTGTCCTCCTTGGCTTTTCTTGGAGGTGTGGACGGATGTGCTGTGTAACAATGTCAGGAGATTTTGGGAAGAGGTGCTGGAAAGCTCTTTCTGGGAGATGGTAAGTCAGCAACAGATGATGATTAAATATTGCTGGGAAAATGGCACTTTGGGCCTGCCTGTAATCTTATTTTGATTTCATAGCTTGTTGAAGAAGTATTTTAGAGGAAATAATGTCTGGAAACAGATTTATGAAGGGCAGCAGCCTTAATTAGAGAACAGCCTGCACTGCTACTCTTGTGCACAAGTTAGTCTCCTGCAGTTTAATGCGTGTATTATGAGAATCCTGTCAACCTGTCATTTTTTGATATGCACTTCTCTCCAATCTATAGAATTGTTTCCAAAAATATTGGTTATTGCATGTTCAGATCCAGACTGCTGAAGCAGTGTAGATTTGAGATGGCTGTGGGATGCTTATTCCAGGGTTTCTTTTCTCCTCCTTATCTTGGATCTCTGTAAGGAAATGGGGCATTACCTCTAAGCAGCCATTGGTTTCTGCATAAACATTTATATACTACATTGTTCACCTGGCTTTTGTCATCTGCTGAACTTTTGTTCTTTACTCTCCTTCCCAACATTCTTATTATTTTTTAATCTGTAACTTGAATTGGTATATGAAATGGAATTCTGTCCCTTATTTAGCACTCTTAACTTTTCTGCCCCCTCCTCAGGTTTGTTAGCAAGTGCCATGTATGAAGGGTCTTTGTCCAGTCCTGTATAGAATTGTCTGAAGGCTAAAGCTGGTCAGGACAAATGCCATAAATATCTTTAAAGCTGTGACTACATAGCATAGCATATATACTTCTTTTTGGAAGTGTAATTTTGGGTAGCTTGCATCTCTGAGTCAAAATATAACCTCTGAAATACATAGAGATAGAAGATACCATTGCTGGATTCGGTTTAGCAAAAATCCAGTCCTGAGTTTTGTACTTTTCTAGAAAATGTTCTGTATAATTGGTTAGCACTTAACCTGCCACAGTCTTTGAGAGAATTGTTCTCAGCCAAGTGAGGTGTGATGCTTTGCTGTAGGTATCCAACTAAAGCATTTTAATTTATGTTAAGTGAAGCAAGACATAACTAGATGCAATACCTGCTGCTGTGAAAGAGGCCATGGTGGTGCCATATCCTTGGCTTTTTGTTCCTGCCCTCTGCCACCTCCTCTGCTCTGCTGAATGAGCTGTTCCTGGGAGCACTTCCTGCACTTTATCTGTGGAAGACGTAGGTCTCTTATTCTATCAAATTGAAGCATCCACTGGGAGACTTGGAGGAGCAGTTAACAGGCAGATGGAGGAAATGGTGACTGGAAGTGAGATCAGGGACTTCTTCAGTGCAGCTGAGTCTGGAGAAGGCTGTTGGTGTGCAGCTGGGGAGCGAAGCTCGCACCAGTTCGAGTGCTCTGCCAGCAGCAGATTGAGGAGTTCTCCCAGTGCTGCCACAGCTTTGGGCAGCACAGGCTCCTGCTGCTGCTGAGAAGCTGGGAGCTGCTGCATCATTGACCAGCGCTGCATCCACAGACAGATTTCCATCTGTTTTCATGTTCTAAGTGAGCTGGCAAGAATTTGGTGTGTTCTTGTGGAGATACAGCAGGAGTTTTGAGAGGCATTGGGAAATTGCTGGCTTAGATCAAATGCTGAGTTTTTGTACCCTAATGAGGCAGTAGCAAAATGAGTAAATCAGTTTGTAGAGAATGTAGAGAATTCCTATCCATGTTATCACAGCATGATTTGAAGCATTTCAACAGAAGGTACAGAAAAAAGCCTTTTTCCTTTAAAGCATTGTTAATCCCTCGGTCTGTTGGATGAAGAGCTCCATTTCAGGTTCAGTGTGCTCTGTAGGTGTTTAAAAAGAATACAACTTGCTGCTAGGATTAGAATCCTTTTCTCTCTTTCTTTTGTAATCCACTCCATCTATTCCATAGCTTAAAGCAAGAACTGAACCCTCACCAGTTTGTGTCTCCCCTCACTCAGATGCAGCTGCATTGGTCAGCAGAGTTGCACACACTGGCAGCACTCAGGCTCACAATCAAACCTGCTTTGCCTTTTGCAGCTGATGGCTCCTTATCCTTCTGCCACTTGGGAAGTCAGACTTTCTGAACAAGAACTTCTGCCTAATGGCTTTCTAAGGGAAAACCAAGGGAAACGGAATCATTTTCTTGTTTTAGTGGCAGAAATTGGTAAAATGACAATTAGATACTCAAAGTATCTACTGATATTGTTTTTACTGTTAGAATTGACTGTAATGAGTCCTTAATTATTACTTGTAATGAAGATGACACTTACTAGTCTCTTAGTTTAGGTGTTGTGGTTCCTTCTTTGTTTCAAGCACATCAAAGTGATCTTTTCTGCATTTTCATTGCACTTAATCTCTAAAAAGGCTTCTAGCTGCTAGTTTGGTAGCACATTGCATTATTGTCATGGAAAAAGAAACTGCTCTTTCAAGGGTTTAAAGCTGTGCCACAAAGCAGTGCCAGCACTGCTCTGAGATGTCATCCCTGAGGTGTGGATTGGAGGGAAAGGACTCCCAGTGCCTGGAAAGCTGTGAAGTGACTTTATGGAAGCTGCTGCAGTCTGCTTAGACTTGTGGGCTAACAAAAGGGTATGAATCTTCCACACAAACTGCTGTGTTAACTTATAAAAATGTTGTGATGTTCATCCTAATACTTCATGTGGGGATGTTTTGTATTGCTCTAGTTTCAAATATTGGCTTCTGGAGAGGAAGACTTGTTTTTATGTGAACATTCCTGTTACTGGGAGAAGGAACTGAGTCCCGACTGAGCTTATCTAGTAATGAATTAAATACAGAAGAATAAATCATACCATGTTCTGAGGAAGATTTCTGAGCTTCAAATGATACCATTAGACTAAATTCTTAAAGCAGTAATATAAAAAGAATAAATGGTGTTACTGGGCTAACTCAGGTAATGCAATGTATGATATTCCAACAGTTGGCTGTTCATCATTGACCATGATGACATGCCATTACTTGCTACATAACCTTGTATTTCCTGACACTGCAAAGTTTGATCTGAAAAGCACAAAGAAGAGTAGTCCTTATTAAGATCTGCATATTAAAATATTAGTGGAAGCTGTCCCAACTCAGAACACAATCAGCTTTTTATCTGGCCTTTTCTGTTGAAATATTAGACAGTGTTAAAAACTGGGTTTGTGTCTGTCTTCCTTGGTCCATAGCAGTGTGAAAGCTTAAAATTGTAACATTCCATAAAGATCAAGAATCATAGATGTGTAAATATTCTTTCAGTAACTCTTTTTCTTGTCCTCTTTTCCAGTATGAAACGTAGATTACTTTTAAGCAAGGGAATAATTGGGGATGGGAAACCTTGAAGGTTTTTCAGCTCTGGTCAGGCAATGTGTGAATTCAGGCATGGTTTAGGTCAGTGGTGATGATTCTAAAGTGTGTGGTTTGACATCCCAGGGGTCTGCTGGGGTTCTTTGTTGTCCCTCTGAATGTTTTGTGTGTGCCTGCTGCAGAAAGGCAGCAGTGTCCTGACTGTCCCACCTGCCCAGCCTGGAGTGTGTGTGATGAACTGACTGCTCCTGATAGGAGCAGTGGGAAAGTCCTGGTGCATGACGTGGGCAGGCTCAGCTCTAATCCTGCTCATAACTTATTAACCTTGCACTCTGCTGTTGGCACAATCAGGACTTGCTTTCTGTGTCATTGTTTTATTCATATCTGCAGTTACCTCCTCATAGTGGTGACTCTAAAACTTCTGAAAGATGTAGCTTAGATGCAGGCATGGCTTCTATAAGGAACATGGGTTCTCACTTGTGTTTGATGTTATGAGACACACTCCCATATAAAACATAGCAGGACATAAAATTGACTGTAAATTATTCTTTGGAATCTTTGGAAATAAAGTACTAGTAAGTGGACTTTTTCCAGATCCTTTCAATTTTAAGAAAAAATTCTTGATCTCAAGAAGGCTTCTTAACAGGCTTCTGAAAGTAAAGTCTGATTAAAAACTATTCCAGTTGTTTGCCACTGAATCTCAGCCACTCAGGTACCTTGGTATTAAATAGCAGTAATTGTCAGTAAAATAAGGAATGTTTGTGGGAAGGATGCAGCTCATTGCATTGTGCACTGCTTGGATGTGCCTGAGGGCTGAAAGGACAGACTCTGGGTCATTCAGTCCAGTCCCTTCTTCTTACAGGAAATAATGCTTTTATAACTGTGTCAAACTTTATTTAATGTTCATTAAATTGCTGGTTATCTTCTTGCATGCTGAACAGCAGTTGTAAAATCTGGTTGTGATATCTACTGGCCTCCAGCTTTGCTGACTGTGGAAAGCTTACAGACACATGGGTTTGTGGTAAAGTTTTTCTCTAGATTAAGTAGCTCTTCTATCTATCTGTTATCTGCTGCAGCCACATGAAATTAAGTTTTCCATACAAGTTTTTATCAGTGCAAATACCATTTTCCATATAAGGCCTTAGCAGGGCTTTATTCGAATGGCATTTCTGTAGCTTTTCTGAGAATAAATTGAATGGTAGTTACATCTTTAAAATTTGAATTTTCTTAATCTTTATTGTCTCTGCTTTATCAGTTTCTTCTGTAATACTACATGTAATTTAAATAGATTAGGCCTCCTGCATTTATTTTTCCTAGGAGCTATTACTTTATTAAATGGAGCTGTTTGGCACAATCTCTGCTACAATGTTTTTCTGTCAACTCATTTTCCATTGACTTTGGTGCCTTTAATTCATTCTTTCCTTTAACACTTGTTTAGAAGCCAGGCTTAGTTATTTTTTCCTCATATTTAGTTCAGTGCTTTTTTTCCAGCACCAAATGATACCATCATGTATTTTGTACTGTTGAGAAAATCTCTTCTTTGGGACTTGTGATCTGATGAGAGGCATCTGATTTTCTGTAGTTAGTGGGTATGGTGTCTCCAGCACTTACTTTCTGAATCTTATTTTTCCTTTGAATGTTCTCTTTCCAGTCCAGTTTCAGATGTGCTGTAGTGGGTTTTTGGTGTACTTCTTCTTTTTCTCTTTGTATGGATAATGAATCTTTTGTTAGAAAGTTCTGACTCAGGGTGGAACT